AGTCAACAGGTGAACCCCAGGCATCCAGCAATGTCCGTTTCCTTGCAATACGAGGAGGAGGAGGAGGAGGAGGAGGATGTGCTAGACACAAGGTGTAGCTGGTGGTTTTCTGCAGAAGGGATGCCTGTTTCTAATTACTCACATCCTGAAAGGTGTTGTGGGTGTTTGCACGTCGCTGTGTTACTGTCTCTTTAAAGGGCATTGGATCTGCCACAGGCAGCTTGCAGCAGGCTGATGGGGAGGACACGTAAAGCACAGTCTCTCGCAAACCGTGCACATAAATTGACACGGTGCTACTGTTGTCATGGAGATCAAAAGAGAAGGTTTCTTAAAGGAGGTGGGGGTGGGGAGGGCTTGGAGGCTGCAGAAAGGCCACTGGGGGACGGAGGGGCTGCTTGGGAAGTGGCAGGAGGAGAGAGAACGTGCCAGGCCGGGAGGGGCGGGAGCCTTCCCCAGGCGGCAGGGAAACAGAAATGCAAAGCATCAAGCGTCCTTCCTGGGTGCAAAGGCAAATGAATGGAAGAGTAAAATTCAACACGGGAAAAACAATCTTTACACGAGCAACCCGACAATGAATGGGCACCACCTTCCCCTAGAATTGTAGTCCATTCAAAGGGATTTGGGAAAAGGTAGAAAGAGAACCCTCGCTTATGAAAGCAGTCCATAAATAACAACATTTTCCCCAGTGGAAAGGGACTCGTTTGAGTTCTCTAATACAGAGAAGGGAGCCCTTAGCTTTGTTTTTGTGTTTTTTTCTCTCCATACACTTACTTTCCAAAGCACTCCTTTAATTTGTATTAAGAGGACTGGTTGCCAGGTGAGATTTTCTGTAAATCCGCAGTTCTGTGCTTATTGTAAAAACAGGGAACCCACTGGCTGGGTTAATAAGTGAACAAACTCTCTTTCTGGAATCTTTTTTTTTTTTTTAAGAAGAAAAAAAAATTAATGACAGTGTCCAAATAAATTGGCTTTTCAGAAGCTATTTTTGGCCCTGATGGGACCTGGGAAATGAGGCTGGATCCCTCCAAATCCTGCCTCAATGGCCTGTCTTCCGTATGTGTGGCCCAGAGGCCAGGGGACAGTACAGAAGTGACCCTCCACTTGAACCCACAGTTCCCGGTTCTCCCGCCGGGCTGCTGAGTGCTGGTCTTCCACAGTGGCCAGGCCAGGCGTCTCTTCGGCAGCCAAACCCCGGGGCTGCAGTCCAGGCATCTCTTTGTCGTCACACCCTTTCCACCAGCCCTTCGTCCAGGCCGATCATCAGCCTGCGCCTGCGATCACGCTTACCCAGCCCTCTGTTGCACCTCACATGCCTTCAAAGCCATTATTCTCTTCTCCATCTGCAAAAACATCTTCTAAGAGTGTCCACTGGGTTGAAGCTCTGATGTGGATCGGGGGGAAAGATGGGTGAGAGTTCATGTCTGTGGGAACCCTTGCATTCTAGAGCTTTCCATCGTGCTCTGGAAAACCGGGCATTTACTACTCAGTGGTGGATGCCAAAAGAGACAGAGTGATCAGTTCTTGCAGTCAGTAGCGGATCGGTGAGTGCCAGTGGAGACCCGGGGAGGGAGAGGGCTCCTCTGGTGAGTTGGAAGCTGAGGTGGCTGCAGGGAATGAGTAAGGGGTTGTTAGTTGAAAGGAGGAAAAAGAACATTCCTTGATAGGGGCTTTCATAAGGTGGGACTGTGTAAGAGAGTTGGGATCCCCAGTCTTTTGGGGGCAGTGATAGAGGAACTCAGGTCAGCAAGGAATGTCCTGTAGACATTTGCCTTAAAGACCAGATTTCACAACAGGTTCTTCTGAGACCTGGAGAAAGACAGGTGCATGCTCAGAGCGGCTCCTTAGGAATTGTGTGGTCTCCAATGTCATGCAACCCAGATTCAAAATATTTTTCGAGATCCCTACCGGATTTCTTCCTTTTCCTTTCTTCTTAGCCCACTGTTAACCCCATTCACTTAGTTGCATGAAAGTGAATCATTACTTCCCACCCATTTTAGCAAGTGTTCTTCAGTGCTAGTTAACAGCCATAGAACAGTGTTCTAGAACTGTCTTTTTCTCCATGAAGACACCTTCCCTACCTGCCCAGCAACCGTCTTCCTTTATTCCAAGTAGACACATGCCTTAAGCACAAATGTCTCTAAAGCATCGTCCTAAACAATTTTTCAAGTAAAATTTTTTATGTTTTATGCACTAACGTCTCTTGGGATGATATGAAACCTACTGCCAGACGGGTGGATCCAAGTGTCTCCACTCGTCCACATTCAGAGTGAGCCTCCAGTGTCACTTTCAAAAACCTGCACACAACCCCTAAAATTCCCTACACTTAGCGTACAAAATTCCTGCCTTTGAGGATTTATTTCAGAGGTCTGCGTTTTTAAATATGAACCCAAAGATTTCTTCAAACACATCTCTAAATCTTAATCTGACTATTCTGCCTGCAAATTAATAAGAGAACTTTAGCTTCGCCTGATAGAGTGAGAATTTTGGGGTTTTTTTTGTGCATAAAAATATAATATTTTCTCTTCATATACTCTATCAATTTTTTGTGTAATTAGAAATGCTTTGTTTACTACGACTTCACAAACTGATTTAACAAGCTTTGCAAACGAGTGAAAAGTTATTGAAGGCTCTGTGAATGGTTCAAACTAAACACAACTTTTAGAAAATCCTTGAGTCAGAATTCCACCTCTGTACTTACCTTGAGAAAGATGTTTTAGCCTCTTGGACCTTTAGTTTCTCCATCTGTAAAGGATAATGAGACTTCTTGGAGTTGTTGAGAAAGCAAATGGGGTGATATATATATATAAAGCACCTGCTACAATGATTGGAAAAACAGTGTTCAACACATGGTGGTGGAAGTGGTAGAGATGGTGGCAGTGGGAGGGGTAATTGTGGTGGCAGCAGTGGTGGCATTGGGACAGTGATGGAGGGGGAGGTGGTGGTGGGGATAGTGATGGTGGCGGTGACATGGTGACATCAGGCATTATGGTGGTGGGAGCACTGGAGGTCGAGGCAGTGGCTCCTGTGTGGGGGTAGTGGTGAATGCGGTAGTAATAGTGGTGGTGGTGACCGAGGTGGCCATGGCATTAGGCAATGGCAGTGGCGGTGACGTTGGCACTGATGTGGCGAGGTTGGTGGTGATGGTGGCAGAGATGCTACAGGTGGTGGCAATGGTAGTCACGGTGGTGCTAGCAGTGATGAAGGTGGTGATGAAGGCAGCGGGACTGGCTGTGGTGGTGCTGCTGCTGGCAGTGGTGACGGTGACAGTGCAGAGGTGGTGGTAGCGTGGCGAGTGTTGATGGGTGGTCATGGTCATCGTGTCGGGGCATGGAGGCCAGTGTTGTAATTGAAATAGAGCAACGAATAACCTGGAGCTGATAGCACAGTATCTTTTTAAAAGCAGTTTTATTGAGATACAATCAACATACCTTACCATTCACTGTTTTAAGAGTACAAATAAATGGCTTATATAACTATTTCACTGATGTCTGTTAGCACCCCAAATGCACTAAATCAGACTGGTTGTTGAGAACAGCAACTGCAGTCCAAGAAAACCATAAAGAAACTTGCTTTTAAAAAGAAATGTGATTTTACTGCTCTTGCATGGCTCAGACTAACTGCCAATGACAGCCGGGCGCTTCTAATCCCGTTAATATGGGGCAGTCCACAAACATTTGCAGGATGCGTGAGTGCTGCTTCTCTGCTCAAAACCCTTTTCTGACTTATTGTCTACACTCTCCTTGTCACACTCTGCTGGTTTTCAAAGACTTGCTCCACCCCTTCTGCTTCCCTCCTCTGTCACCGCTACCTCCGGGCAGGTGGCACCCTCTGCAGGCCCCGCCCCCTGCATCCGCACCTCCTTCCCTGAGCCCTGCCGTCCCGCCCAGCCCACCTGGGCTCGGCCTCTTCTCCCCACTTCACACCACTCTCGTCCACTTCCCGGATGCCCGCTGGCCGGCCTTCACCTCCCCGCATCGAGCATTCGGCACTTCATGGTTCTCCATGGCTCAAGTGTTTATTTTCTCTCCCCAGCTGGATGGCAGGCACTTGCAGGACAGAGAAAGCTTTTCACAGCCCCGGGAGAGCTGGACCCATAGCTTGTGTGCACGCACACACACACACACACACACACACACCCCTGCTGACTGCCCGAAAGTCTACTGAACCTTTAGGACTGAGAGGGTCACCTTGGTGGTGTCGTTCCGCCACACTTGAGAAGGGCCTGGTTTCTTTAAGCCCCATGTGTTGGCCCACTCTGTACCTCCTTTGACTCGATGGGTCTTTTCCAAACACCCGCAGAGCGGAGCTGGCCCCAGCCCCTCCCCTTTCTCATTGAATCACCACCCAAACCATTCCGAGGTGAGTCAGGCTGGGGTTTAAGGAAGGAAGTTTCCCTCGCTATACGGGCAGACCCCCCTGCACAGGCCAGTTTTCACCTTGCAAAGACTGCTGTTCTGGGACATTCTCCTAGCATGCAAGCTCCATGAGGACCAGGGATCCTGCTGCTTTATTTTGTTGCATTTTTAAACTCACTTCTGTTCCTCAGTGCCTAGAGCAGTGCCCGGCACAGAGCGGGGCTCTCGGTCGATACTGCAGGGTGGGGGCAGGAAGATCAGAGTCACGGCTGATCAGTAGTGTCCTTGGAGATGCCACAAACACAGTGTCTTTTGCAACTTTCTCATCAACCGGACAGGTCTCGAGGGCAGCACGAAGGACGGGCCCAGAGCATGGACTTGGGCCAGACGCCAGCCTTCCGACTCCCTTCCAGCCGCTGGGACGCGGTGACCTCGTGTGTAGAACGAGGGTCATCGGCGTGTGGTCTCGGGAGGGTGGCGAGGGTCAGGCGCGGCAACTCGGGCCCCGGAAGAGTGCCTGGCGAGGACCTGCACCCCGGCTACGACAGGCGCTCTGTTTGCGTTTCCCTCAGGTGCTGTGGGTGTTGCTTTGGCCTTTGTGCTACCTCAAGACTTCTTGAGTGTGTTCTTTTCTCTCCTGTTTAGGCTCCCAAGAAACATTTGCAAAATGGGATCATCCGTGGCTACCAAATAGGTTACCGAGAGTACAGCACCGGGGGCAACTTCCAGTTCAACATCATCAGCATCGACACCACTGGGGACAGTGAGGTCTACACCCTGGACAACCTGAATAAGTTCACCCAGTACGGCCTGGTGGTCCAGGCCTGCAACCGGGCCGGCACGGGACCTTCTTCTCAGGAAATTATCACCACCACCCTCGAGGACGGTAGGTCTGGCCCTCCACGGTGGGCCCCCTGTGCCTCTCGGGCTCCCCCGGCCCGGCTCCCCGCTGACTTTGCAGAGAGACAAGGGCGGAGGGACCTGCAGGGACCCCGGCCTCAGGTCTCAAGTGGGAAAGCCTGTCCAGATGCCCTCCCCGCCTCGCTCTGCATTGCAAAGCCAAAATGCACTCCCTTGCAGAACCCTCCTCATTCATCTCAAGCAAAAGAACTGGGCTTTTCCCAGTCGTGAAACCAAGGCTCTTCCCACTACTGCAGAAGTCTGACTAGAATGCAGAAATCCGATTTCCTAAGAATTTCTCCCAAATCAATGTTCAGATTTTTGTGGGGAGATTGCTTTCTATTTCCAAGCACTCAGAGACCAGGGAGAAGGAAGTCTCAGGCTTCCCGCAGCCGCTCGCACAGTGACCGAGCGCCCCCTAGTGGCCCTGATGAATTAATTCGCCTTCCACCTTAGCACTGAAAATAAACTAGAAGTTCAAATTTCCGGTGGTGCTTGGAAATACAGACGGAACCCGGGTGTCTAGAGACACAATGTTTTAGGTGCAGAGATAAGACATAGGGTTCATCGTAGCCATAAGTGGTAGATTTGAAGGCAGCAAGCTTGCGCGGCAGTCTGCTCTTGTGCGGTTAGCCCCTGGGTCACAGGTTTGAGAAGGAAATTGTGACTTGCATCTGTAAAGTCTGGCGACGGTGACCAGGAAAGAAGTCTCAGACAACTAGAAATTTGAGCACTAGGATTTTCTTCCTATCTTAATAATCTCTGCGATAGGGGTTAAATACATCTTTGGTTTTTGCTTCAATACTCATTTTTTATTGAGACACGTGTTTCAGTCAACACTTTGCACCTCACCTAGCTCCAACCTGTAAGGTCCGAATAAGCGCGGCATTAAAAATACTCCAGATAATCTTCAAGCCTGTTTCTGAGTCCATGGTCTCTCTCCCCTCTGACAATATATTCCGGGGTGGAAAGGAGGGCTGGGGAAGATGAGGCGGTGGAAACAATACGATTACATTTCTGCCTCGTAGCACTTCTCCTAATCGAGCTTCCGATTTAAATGCCAGATATCACTAAATACGGAGGGACTGTGCTGTGCTGTATAAAGGGGATGTACTTAAGGAAGTAACTTGCAAGAACAATGAGAATATAAACCAGACAAGCAAGGGTCTTCTACTCGGGCACTACTTCAAAAGTGTACTCAACTTAAGCCTAGCTAACCTCCCTTGAAATGAAGCAATTTAAGTTGGATTCTGTGGAATCCTTTGGAGCATATGCATAAACTCATGATATTTTACTGAGTTACCAAAAGATTTGTATAGGGAAGTGGCATTTTTTTTTCTTTTATTTTGGGGATCGAGTGCAGTGTTTTTCTTTTGCTTGCACATTGAAACATTAAACTATGTTGCTTGTTCAATATTGCTTTGCTAATAAGGCAAAGGCAGCTATTAAAGATTCTAATTATTTAATTTCAGTGCCCAGTTACCCCCCTGAAAATGTCCAAGCCATAGCAACGTCACCAGAGAGCATATCAATATCCTGGTCCACGCTGTCCAAGGAAGCCTTGAACGGAATTCTCCAGGGGTTCCGGGTCATTTACTGGGCCAACCTCATGGACGGAGGTAAGAGGATTAACCCAGGACTTTGAGTTTTCTCCAAAGGATGCGGGATGAAATTTGCAGCCCCCCTTCCCAACGTGGGATGCGGGATGTGGCTGTGGCCGGCGCTTGTTTATCAGTGGGCACTTTCTTCTTTTCTGTTGTCTCTCATCCAACATGTGAACAGGTGCATAACGCTGTTTAAGGTATTGCGCACCTTCAAAACGCAATTCAAAGTGTAGGAGGGGAGTGGCACTCGGGAAAGTTACACCTGGGCATATTTTCCTAACTATGAGTATCTATGTCAAGGCTCTGCAGGCAGCACCAAAGCCTGGATCTCCATCTAGAACATTCCATATGACGTGTATCCTAAAAAGTTGGCCTCTTCCTGTTCCCCAAATAGAACTCAGCAGCAGGGAACTTTTAAGTTCCTGCAGTTGAACTGTGAGGCGGCTCAGGAAGAATGCCAGAACCCCAGAAAGGGACATCATCACTCACCAGGAGGAGCTGTTAAATCCGGAGCCCTCCATTCCTGTCTTCTCTCTGTTTTTTCTTTTCCTCTTCCTTCCCCTTCTCCTCCTCCTCCTCTTCTTTGTTCTTCTTCTTGTTTCCATGTGTGTGTTTCTTTCAAGTTGTAGGGCGAAATTTTCCTGTTCGTTTGGCACACGACTCTGAATAGGAGACCTGCTTGGGTGGCGCCAAGATTGGGGCCAGGAGTTTCTTAGGGGGACACGTCCCGGTGCCTTTGCCTTCAGGCTATGAACCCTGTTCCCCGCTGAGCCTGCCGTGGAGCTTGCTGGGTGCACAGCAGGGCCGCAGCCCCTTACAGGAAGGGCCTCCTGCTTTCTGTCCCAGAACTTGGGTGGTCACTCCTGCATCCCCCCAGCTCACCCTTTCAGGACTCCTCCTGGGCCCCCTGCCCCTGGGTGGGGCCAGCCCTCTTGTCTGGGGCTTCTTTCAGCACCCCCTGACTGGGTGCGGGCCCTTGGCTGTGCTCGCCTCTGAGATTGTGGGGATACAGGCAAGAGCCTGTCCCTACTCCGTATCACCTGGGGCTGTTCTCCCCAGCAGATCCCTTGTCCCCATACAGGTAAGCGGAACACTTGGGCCTCAAAGGCTGCAGGAGGCTCCATTATTGGTTCCAGAGTATAGGAAAGAAGACACGTTAGCAAAGCAAGCATCATTCGCTAAGAAGACACCAGTGTTTATGCCTTAGCCATTCATATCTCTAACTAGACATGTTTGTTGGGGCTGAGGACCAGACCTGACTCCTCTTGATGCAGAGTGTAGTGCCTTGAACACCACCCAACACTGAGAGGCCTTCTAGAAAGATCTACCCACTGAATCTTGCAGCAGACATGGTAACTGAACACCTGCGCTGTGCTGAGCTTGTGGGAGACACCAGGGATGCCTGGTCTACATGTTGGAGGTTCTAGAGCAGTGAACAAGGGAGACCCTAATGCATAAGGAACCACAGTCCCAATGACGTGCAGCCCCATGGAGGGGCAGATTAGGTAGTTAATTCTGTAAAAACTTCACCCCCACCAAAGAAAAGCTTTTTAAAAATTACAGAGTATAGAACAATGGAAATTTGTAAAATTCATGTATTTTATTGACAAAATACCATAGGATATCATTACATATACTTGTTCTGTTTTCTGCTCCTCATTTTGAATCAATACCCTAACACACTCACCTAAAGGTGATATTGCACTAAACTGTTCCTTTTATTGTTCTTGTTGAAAGTGTTTCCAAAATCCAATGGTGACCGTTGATTCATATCACTCATATTTTCAAATATCCCCAATATTTATTAACATTGTTAGCATCTTAGTTCTAAAATGGATGAAGTGGCTTTATACTTTTAGTAATCAAAAACATATAATTCTTTAAATAAAGACTGCTTGGAAGTGCATACAGTTTTTTTTTTTTGAAGACACTTTTATTCATGGAATTAAGATCAAAGTGATGTGATTAATGTATAATGTAGAAGCTCTACACTTAATTTCCAAAGGAAAGCAAGAAATCCTCAGAAACAAACCTGCTTATGGACAGTCCTCCCTAACTCCTCCCTGGGAGATGGCATTTATGAATTAGCAGGGCATTTCGTGTAATTACTGGAGGCATGTACACAAACTCCTCAGGCTTGTGGTCTTAGGGGTTAGCTAGATTCTCATAGACATTGAACATGTAGTGACTGTGTAAAGAACTATACAGGCTAGAACTTGAAAAAGCATCACACATTTCACATATACAACACATATACCACATGCACACACATACCACACATAATGTATATACCACATATACCACACTTACATACACATACCACACACAGAGACTCAGAGAGACAGAGATTTTTACTACTGTTGTGCTTAGCAGTTGACCCAAATACTTTCCAAAATATGTATAAGAAAGCATTTTGTTTTTAATGTGGTAAGATAAAATAAAATTGGTTAGTATATTTGATAGGGCAGGTTAAATATACAATATGTTGGTAAAATTTCTGAGTATTTTATCATACTCAAAAAATTAAATAATTTTTAAGGCCTGACAGAAACAGTTCACTTGAGGTTGCTAGGAAAATTGCACACTTTGAGAAGTCACCATTTTCATCTGAATCTTAGCTGCTTTTCATCTCTTCTGTCTTTCTTCATGACAAAAATGGTAGATTCTGGAGCGAAGCAACATTTTAGTGCCGAGAGTGTGCGGGGTGGTTGGGGGTTGCTTCAGAAGTTATTTCTACCCTTACTTTGTTTTCTGCCTTAAAATCCTTGGAAAATGAGGCATCATAAATAAATATATAAAACCATCTTGTTTTAGAAAGTTATGTAATGGCAAGAATATGATTTATACATTTATTCTTATATATTTGTTTCATTTTATTTTACTCAGACCTCAACTGAACACTATACTTTAATTCATATATATATATATACACACACACATACATATATATATATTTTTTTTTTTAAATAGCCCAAGCTAGATGATAGAAATCTATGTTTAAGCCACAGAGGAATAAAAGAGCTAAAAAGAATGGGAAATGAAGCACACAGTTTTGTCTTCGGCTTTTTTCGTCATTTTCCTTTTATTTCTCCTACATCTGCTAATCACCCGGTATCTGTGGTCAGAAAAACTCCCCTCCTTCGGGGACACTGAGCCGTCCGCGTGGGAAGGTCTGGTTCTGGCGCTCGGGCAGTTTTAGAAATCTTTGGGGGATAGCTTTGAGTGGGGGTCTTGACTGCAACGCCGTTCACGTTTCCTGACAAATTACTTACTCGAAATGATACGAACCCCCAGATGAGTAAGCATCCAACGTTAGCTCTGATTGGTGTGTAGTTCAGCCATAGATTCAGTCCTCTTGCTTCCATCGTGGTGGCTGTCTTTAAGAAGGTCGGGGAGCACCACCTCGCCCTGTCCCTCTCCACCAGCCCCATCCTCCTCGGTGTGTCTGATTCCGAGCAGCATCGCGGGCGGGCACAGCTGCCGCCTGTGTTGTAACGGGGTCTCACTTGCTCTGTGCCCTTCTTAGAGATGAGGAGACAGACCTTACTCAGGCTCCCACAGCCAGCTCTGGGCACCCTGCCCCTGTGGGACCCTCCCCACAGCTGCATGTCCCCTGATTGTGTGTATGTGTGTGTGTGTGTGTGTGTGTGTGTGTGTGTGTGTGATCTCTGACATACAAGGTAGAAGTCTCTAAATCTGCAAAGCTCTTGAGTTCTGTAGGCAAGCATGGCATGCCAGCTACCTTTGCTAAGGCAAGAGACAGCAGAGGGCTGGAGACGCTGACTGACAGCCCCACTGCTCTCTGCGTGTTCCAAAGGTGGCCTGTACTGCAGCCCACGGCCCCCCGGCCCTCAGCCTCACACGTTCTTGGGGTAACCGGCACGCTTGGGGTGCCCGGCGTTCCGCTGGCAGCCCTTTCCTGCAGGTGACAGTTCTCGAGCTCCCTCTCTGGCTCTGTGGGTGACTCATTTCAAACCCACCGCCAAACCCCCATGGAGGCACTTAACACATCATTTGTAAGTTTCCTCAAATTGCCATGTATAATATGACAGAGATGAGAGTGCATAATGTTCCATCTTCAAATATTATTAGCTGATCCCACTGCAGAAAGTGAAGCGTTTTTAGCTATCGCCAAGTTTCTGACACATCGGCATGTCACTCCAGCAGGGACGCCGGGAGGAGTTCACGCCAGGTAAAAAAGAGGGATTTGCTCAGCCTCTCGGCTTAGCACAAATGCGTTTTATTCTACTTTGAATGTTTTATTTTCCCAGCTTCATTGAGGTAGAATTGACAAATTAAAACTGTATTGCATTTAAGGCGTGCACCTTGTTTGGACAGGTTCATCCACTGTGAAACACCACAGTCAAGCTCGTTAACATATCCACCCCCTTGCATAACTACCTTCTTCTTTTTCACCCCAGAAGGATACAAAGTTTCAGTTATGCAAGATGGATAGGTTCTGAAGATCTAACATGCAAAGTGATGACGATAGTTAACAATACTGTTTTCTATACTTGAAATTTACTAAGAGGGTAGATATTTGAGGTTCAGATATTTGAGACCAAGTTAAGTACTTAAAAATACAAGTATGTTAGAGTTTGTGTTTTTTTTTTTTTTAAAAAAATAACTGACTTGCAGAAACCTGGTAATGAAGAGTGAGAGTGGATCTGCAGGGTGCGCGGCATGTGGTCCTAAGCCTGCTGGGTGCGAGGAGGGTGCCACGTAACCAGCCACGGAAGGCTTTCCCTGAGTGGTGGCCGTGGTGCTGGCCTTGGGTTTGAACACTTAACCTGGGAAGAATTGCCTTGTTTTCCCCACCAGTGTTCTCCCTGGTGTTCGGGGCAGTTCGGCGTGGACGGTCTTTTCCAAGTGGCCGCACAGCGTTGGTATCTCACAATGACTGTGCGCGGTCCTGTCTACCAATAGTGACTCCAGTGTCCTGCAGATGACGCCCCAGTGCCAGCCAGCTAGGACAGCGTGGGGAACTCGAGCATCGGCAGGCTGGGTAACGGGATGGTGTTTGCTTGTTCTTGTCCTCCAGAGCTGGGCGAGATTAAGAACGTCACCACCACGCAGCCCTCCCTGGAGCTGGACGGGCTGGAGAAATACACCAACTACAGCATTCAGGTGCTGGCCTTCACCCGCGCGGGAGACGGAGTCAGGAGCGAGCAGATCTTCACCCGGACCAAAGAGGATGGTGAGAAGTGGCGGGGCGCGGGGGGGAAGCTCTGCTCCCGCCTCAAACACCCAGGGACACACAGGCTCCTGCCCACATCCTTGGGATGACTCCATTGCAGAAAGGCTGGGTCAGGGGCACCTTGCAGCTCTCTTCGATCAGGCTCTTCTTGGTTTTGCTTGGGCAAACCTTTGTTGCCCTCCCAGAATATTCCAGTGCAATCCAGACTGTCAACTTCCTATGCTGCTTTTGTTTCCATATCCAATCCATTGTTTTCCTCTTCCCCTATAATGTTTCTTTCTTCTTTCTTTTTTCCTTTGTTTTTTACCCCAGAGCTGCAATGCTTGCCATACCTGTTTTGTATCCTGTTAGAATAATAATTTTGATGGCTCTTTAGCTTCTAGTGTAAGCTCTGATTGAATCCATCCTTCCACTTTGAAAATATTACTGGTCTGAATCCCATTATTCAGTGCCAATTTGAATCGCATTAGAGTGAGTCCTTGATTTGAGAGCTCTATGTTAATTTTTTAAAAATTTTTATAAGAATTCATGATGATTTAGTAAAATTTTAAATCACTGCTCATGGTTTCAGACCATTCATTCTTGTTGTTCCATACAGTTTGGATTTGGTTATGTAACTGTTACCCAAACCTACAAACACCGACAGCAAAGCTTTTGTATTATTTTAAAGGAGACCTTGAGGAGTCTTATCTAGGCCCATTTGAAGAACAGTTGAAGTCCTAATAAATAGTATAGCAGCAGTGAGAAAAGTAGCCTCCAGGTACCTTAAAAAAGGAAGGAGCAACTGATGTCAAATTGATCCCTCTGTAGAACCTTCCTAAAATGTTGCACAGTAGAGAGAGTGGTACATGAGACACCAGTGTACCTAAACACCGTGCCCACTTGCCTCTGCCACTTGCCCGGGCTCTGTTCCCCAGGACCCCGTCAGCGTGGGGTGGAAGAGCTCTTAGCCATTGCTCACTATCTCCCAAGTACTGGCAGGTGTTATGTCTGTGCTGCATCTTCCCACAACTACAGGATCAAAGATGCTATTGTTCCATCCCATACCTGTCCTGTGGATGCAAAGCTAAGGACACATGCTCCAAGGCCAGGACAGGATCTTCAGCCCTTCTGCCCCCTGAATCAGAGCTTGTCTGCAAGGCCCTGCCGCCCGGAGCAGTCCCTTCCTTCCTCCCAGGTGGAAGCTCCAGGTGGTGAGCATGATATGTTCACCACCTCTGTGGCCGTTTGTGTGTTACAGTGTATGCACACAAATCCATCCTCCTTTGCTTTAGTTTTTCTAGAACACACAGGTAGTTCTCCCTGGGAATGTGCAGGTGTCCGCCAGTTCTGCTCAAAGAAATTGAATTATTTAGGGAAATCTAAGGTGAAAATGTAATGCCATTAGAAAGTCACATATCAACAGGGATATCGACAAAGCTGAGTCCTAAGTGAAGACAGCCATAATCTAATTTATAAAAATGTAAATATTGATTTTAAAAAAGAAAACATTTTACCAATCTGGAGTAAGACGAAATTTCCTTATATGCTTTAGAGTAGGTATAACCAAAGTATAGAAAATACACTTAATTACAAAAAAATCATAATATTAAACATTGAAAGTAGAAACAGGACAAGGTTGTCTGTCATTGCCTATAGGTAAATAAAAATAAAGGATAAAAATAAAGACAGATGAAAATATCATTATTTGCAGATGGTATAACTTTGTTCACAGAATAAATTAAGCAGTAGAAAATTAACTGAAAAAGAAAATAACTAAGTAACTTAGGTAGATTTTTAAAACCTCACAAATAAATGTGGTGATATTATAGTGTATAATTTCCGATTAAACTGTACTAACTCAAAATAATATTCAGCAAAAAGAGGAAACTATATAAAAACCACAGAAACATTTAATTGGCAGAATAAACAAAGGAAAAAAAATGTAAATGATGAAGAGCTGTGTAAATGCTGGCTCTGCTGCCTGCTGCCCATGGGACTTTGGACACCTTACCTGATCTCTGAGCTGGACCATCCTTGTCTAAGTGGCTGTGACGATCACACTGCACAGAGTCAACGTGTAAAAGCCGAAGTGATGTGTGAACACACCTAGCTTGACCAGGTGGTACGATTCCACCTGGCGCTCAATGTTTGATTATTTTCTCTCCACTCCTTTGGAGCCGGGGTGGAATTATTCTGTTGCTTTGCTAAGCAATAGCGCAAATGTCACTGGAATCATCATTTAAAGAGCGAATTGATCAGCGATAAAAATTTTTACATTTGCGTTTTTCAGAAAGATGTACAGAAATCCAATAAGAAAGGAAGGCTCTCTCCATAGCTCCTTATTCATTGGCGATTTGGGATCAATTTTTAATTAATCCTCCAGTATTAGAAATCACAGAGTTCTATGTCGAATTTGACCTCAGAGTCCAAAGTCTAATTTGTCAAGGGATTAGTCTCTGCTTTTTTGTCCAGTGCTGATAACATATGGAGCTATGCTTGATTGTGAAGGACCCTGACTTATGTGCACGGTCACCCCAGGGAGCAGGTGACGAATTCCACTCGTGCTGGTGGCATGCAACAAAGAGTACGCAGAATTGGGTGTCAACATTTATTGAGAACAAATTGGTATTTTCAAGAAGAAGTGGAGCAGAGGTTGGGTGGAAGAAAAGAGAAAACAATGTAATAATGAGTTTATCTCCGAGATTCACAGGAAAAGTTCACTAATTTAGAAATGGTGAGGAACTGTGCCAGCCACTTCTGTAGGCTCAATAGCTAATATAAATAGGCATTTGGGCAGTTCATACAATTAAATGCAATTTTTTATCTGGTTGAAAGAAGGGACGAAGTCTAATCATCAGAGAACAAATGCTTAATCAAATTAAGACCACAGATCCTCCGTATACTTCTAGAAGCTTTGCAATGTTGAAATTTAGGTTACACTGCCAACTTCAATTGAATTATAAAAATATGGATGGATTTCTAGTATTTAATAAAATGACAATTGCTAAAAGTTATGAAGTTCTTCCTTACTAAGGCACTCTTTTAGGCATAGGCTGAAGTTTTGGTATTTTTAATGTTCTTGGAAGTAAAAAATGATTAATACACTAACAACAAACGTTTGATTTGAGTCCTCCATGCCAGACACATTTCTTACAGTAGTCTTTCTAACCTCAAGAGACCTAAAGTTTTAAATTACATTATCAGGTCACTGGTCATCCTACAAAGGGAAATTTTATAATTAATAAAAGACAAAAAGTTTGTTTTCATGAGAGATTATTTGCAATAGAACTGAGTGTTTAGAGAACAGGTCTCCTGTGCTTTAAGTAGTTTCTCAGCTTCTACCTAAGGATTCTTGTGCTCGTAGACATATTCTCAGGTCCATGAACATAGTCTCAGATCCATAAAACCCATCTCAGATTCATGGATATATTCTCTGGATCTGTGAGAATTGCTCAAGTTTCAGGTTCTCTTCCCACGACTACTCAATCAATGAGAGCTTGTAGCTCTATTATTGCCGAAAGAACAGGAGAGATGATTTGGTGATTTGGCTTTCTGTTTTTATGAGTGCAAGACAACTCATTTTGACTTCTAAAACATTTGTAAAATCCTAATACCATTTTTTTTTCACTGATATTAGAATCTGAGCAAAGCCATAGGGAAAGAGGACACAAACAAAATGCAATCTGTTGATTTTCCAGTTGTTATTTTCATTCTGCAGGCACAGGCTAGTTTCAGCCTTGATCCCTTTATGCAAAAGTAAATGTTGCATATGTATAAATAGAGATAGTCGTGTTTGAGCTCAAATATTTTTTGAGCACATCACTGATGCACATGACTCTGGAGGCACATGTGGGAAGGTGGCCAGTAGGTGTAATGTGTGACCTCTGTTCTCTCTGCACCGTCAGTCAGTAATGTCTTTGGCAGGATATCTGAAAGTAGAGCCAAGAGGGAGCAAAAAAGTAAACAAATACCAGGATATCTCTGAATCCTCTCACCCACACCTTAAACCATATATATATCCCCTTGAAGGCATGGATAGCCTGTACCTGTGTGTGAGTGCTCAGGTGATCATGTGACCATGCCTTGATAGACCTTAAAGATGATGGACTGTGTGTGTGTGTGTTTGCACAACCACCAGCAGTGCTGGCCCTCGATAGACACCCAAGGCATCGTGCACCATGGGAGGCCTGCTCTGGATGCCAGGGTCATACTTGCCCCATGCTGTAGCATGTATACCAGCAACCGAGCAGAGCTTCTGTCCATCCTGGAAGAGATTCTACCAAGTGGCTTTCAAAAATAAAAATCCCTCTGTTGCAGTGGTTCTCAAACTAGGCTCCTATAGTACCCAAGGGTTCCTGAGCAGGGCTCAGAGGTGAGTGAGAGGTCCAGCGGGTGACCCCATCTTCACCCCTGGCCCCACTTTAAGAAGAGCCACCCCCACTTCCACAGGGGTTAGGTACTGGTTTCCTGGCATGCTATTTTGGCTAAAGGTTCTGTCTATTTAGAAGCATGTTTGGAAACCACCGCCCTAGTGAGAACAAAAGCCAAAAATATTGTGGACATGGGAGGAGAAAAGGGACGTGTGTGCATTGATGGGGAGATGACGGCTGTGAATGTGCATGTGTCCCTCCAAGATATGGCATCTGTGAGGAGGCCACTGTGGAATGTGGGGCTCCTGTGGACGTGGTTACCATGGTAACCCTGTGTATACACACACACACACACCCCTGCCTGTGGCTCATCCCCAAGACCAGAAAAACAATGATGAAAAAACGGAGCCACCTGCAGGGCCCGTGCGGGTGTCCGGACTGCTGTCTGCCTGCTGTACTTCAGACCCAGCAGTGCTCTTTCAGAACGCTGGCTTTGGTGTGTCACATCAAGATACGTTGTTACTCGAGGGGTTACCCGCCTGTATTCATTTTCTGCGCTGTGCAGCAAATCACCGAGACCTTGTTAGCACCTTGCGACAACACCAGTGTGTTACACCATCTCCGTGGTCAGGAGTCCAGGCCTGGCTCGCCTGCGCCCCCTGCCCGGGGCCCCACAGGTGACATCAGGGCGAGGGCTGGGGCTGCGGCTCCGTCTGGGGTTGGGGTCCTCCCCCATGCTCCCCAGTGATGGCTGGGAGTGTTTTGTGGTAGCGAGGCCGACGTCATCGGCTCCCAGGGGCGGCCCGCCGCTCCTGCCACGTGACTCCCCCACAGCCTGGCCAGCGGGACAGTGTCTCTACAGCTTCCAGCCTCTCTCTGACTTCTTCTGTCCCTGACCTCCAGCTCCTTTAAGGGGCTCGGCACGTTAGATCAGGCCCTGCCGGGAAACCATCCCTTCCAGGAACCTAAATTCAAGTGAATCGGACCTTGACTGTATCCGCAGAATCCCTTCACCTTTGCCACGTCACGTGACCGGATCGTGGGCGTGATCCATCCATCATAGTAAGGGCTACTGCCCCCACTCGAGGGGAAGAATTACCCAGGCATGCACACCACAGGGCGAGGGTGTTGGGGACCGTCTTAGAACTCTGCCTGCCACACTGTGCCTGGTGGAATCATTTGCCCGCTCATTCAGAAAACCCGTGTTAAAGATTTAGTATGTTCTCGGCCCGGCGCGGTGGCTCATGCTAGTTAGTGTAATCCTGGCACTCTGGGAGGCCGAGGCGGGCGGATTGCTCGAGGTCAGGAGTTCAAAACCAGCCTGAGCAAGGGTGAGACCCCATGCCTACTATAAATAGAAATAAATTAATTGGCCAACTAATATGTAGAGAAAAAATCAGCCGGGCATGGTGGTGCATGCCTGTAGTCCCAGCTACTGGGGAGGCTGAGGCAGGAGGATCGCTTGAGCCCAGGAGTTTGAGGTTGCTGTGAGCTAGGCTGACGCCACGGCACTCACTCTAGCCTGGGCAACAAAGTGAGACTCTGTCTCAAAAACAAAAAAAAAAAGACTTAGTATTTTCCAGACCCTGGCCCAGCCACGGGAGACATGGCAGAGAACAGGATGGGCGTGGCAGGCCTGCAGGCTGGTGGGGGAGACAGACATTGGCAGATTAGTCCTGAGTAGATTATGATGAGTACAATGACAGAGAAGAGTCTTGAGAGAGAACTTGAGAGCCCTCACTTAATCTAGGCTGGTGATCAAGGAAGACTTCCTGGAGGAAGTGATTATTTAGTAGAACCTGAGAGATGAGTGAGAGTTGCCAGGGAAAAGGTGGAGGGTGGGAAAATATTCCAGACAGAGGGATCCCAAGGCCCTAGATCAGGGGTCCTCAAACTTTTTAAACAGGGGGCCAGCTCACTATCCCTCAGACTGTTGGAGAGTGAGCACTGTGAGCCCGGGATGAGTCGGCTGCTAAGCAGGACAGGCAGCGGCGGCAAAAACACCCGGCGTGCCAGATAAATGTCCAAGGCGGGTGGCATGTGGCCCATGGGCCGTAGTTTGAGGATGCCTGCCCTAGATCATCATGTGCAAAGGTCCTGCGGGGTAGAAGCAGACCCCTCTCAGGGACCTTAAAAGGAGCCCAGTGGTGGGAGAAAATCCGTCCCAGGCAGACCATCCTGTTCCATTTCTGACCTCTGCAACTCTAAATATCAGATGCTTATCATCCTACGTTGAGTCACAGAGTAAGGGCTTGCACCTTTTATAATCTGAGGAGATAATGATGGTTATTAGAGATGACAGCTAGAATTCATTTAGTGCTTACTGTATACAGAGCCCCAAATAAATTATTTCATGAATTATCTTTTATGAGCCTAACAAAATAATCATAAGTAAGTATAATTATTTGTTCCGGCTTCATAGAGGAGGAAACTAAGTTTTATTAGAGAAGTTAATTAACTCACCCAGGATGTAGAACTAAGGGGTAGAGCTGGCAAAACCCAGGGGGGAGGCTCCAGTGCTCAGACCTTTAACCATTATGGCGTAATCCAAACCAGAACTCAAGTTTTAAATTCTAGCTTTGAAATGATAGGTTTCATAATCCAGAAAACTGTTCCAGAATAACTATTTGCTAAAAGTTTCTCTATTATTAATTATTCAAAATTCTAGTAATCATACAAAGAAAGATTGCTCAAAATAGGTCATAAATCCATGGGTGAGGATCCAATGGGGGTCTAGACGGTTCCGTCCACAAAGGGCCTACAGCAAGGAATCCCTGAACCTGACAGTGACCAAGACATGCCTTAAACACTGTATTTTAACTTAAAACACATGAATATGTATTTATGCTCTAATCATTCTCAAGTCAAATGATCCGGGATCATTCCTTTAGCTTTGGGGTGAAGAGAGTAGAGTTCTGAGCCATCTTTTATCCCATGATCTGTATTCATCTTGAATCATCTGCCATTTCCAGCATTTCTTGAAAGTAGAGTAAGAGCATTTGCCAACAATCTATTTGCTAATGAAAACCAGGACAATGTCTTGATTTTTTCTATCTGTTGCATTCTTCTCAGTGGTCTTGACCAAAAGTAGATGAGCCAACAACCAATCTTCCTTCCTTCCTTCCTTCCTTCCTTCCTTCCTTCCTTCCTTCCTTCCTTCCTTCCTTCCTTCCTTCCTTCTCTTCCTCTCTGCCTTTCTTCCTTCTCTTCCTCTCTGCCTTTCTTCTTTTTCTTTCTTTTTAACTTGCCTTCAATGAAGCCCTTCCAAAGAAGTTCCATTAACTGTCATAGAAACAGTTTTCTTTTATACTCATATGTCATTGGTTTAGATAATGAATTGACTGCCCACATTACCACGACAGGTGTCATTGTCACAAACGGGTTGGAAACAAACACAGCTGACTCCCCTTTTAGCAGCCACTCAACTGGTGGTTGCTGAAGTCCGTGGTCTCTTAGGTGGAAGCCGGCCAGAGGCAGTGTCCAGCACGGTGGACAGCAGCCCGGTGGCGTGCTTGGCAGCGGGAATGGAGAGTGCTGGCCACTGCAGCGTCTGTTAGGAGGAAAACATCCTGCGAATGCTCACTCCGCCTTTGGTGTTCTGCCCTCGTGGCTCTGAACCAGGTGGTGGACGCCTTGATACTGCCCTCGCCTGTAGGAAACCTAAGCACAAATGCCCAGGACAACTGAGCTTTGTTCCCTAGGGAGTTACTAACCCAGGCTTTGTCACTTTTATGTGCTCCCTTTTGTAGCCATTCTGTTGCCAGTGGGACTTGTCAAGCACTGACACCAAGACTGTATGTTTCGAATGGTGACTGTGAGGAGGGCAGGGTTCTGAGCCATCTTTCGTCCCACGAACTGTATTCGTCGTGCATCATCTGCCATCCCCAGCATTTCTTGAAAGTAGAGTGAGGGCATTTGCCAACAATCTGTTTGCCAATGCAAAGCAGGGCTGTGTCTTGATTTTTTTCCACGTGTTGCCTTCTTCTTGGTGGTCCTGACAACCGACCCCAGTCGGTTCTCGGCAGAGTCGTTGGTGTGGCTCAGACTTTGAAGAGTCGAGGTGACAATTGTTGTGAGATACACATTCAACTCCAAAATACTTACCGATCACTTCCATTGTCGTCAGAGTAGTGAGACACTCACGGACTTCCTCGGGGACTTAGGTGGGTCTGGATTTCCAGGCCTCCATCAAGGCGGGAGCGGCCCTCCACGAGGATAGTTAGACCAGGCGGGAGCAAAGCGAGAGCCACGAGCCTCCCCTCGTTGGCAGACCTGACGTTCTCTCCTCCCCTGGGTCTCGCCCACCCTCTTCGACCTGAAAACAAAGGAATGGGAGGCGGGGGACGTGCATCCACTTTCACTCCCAAATTATGCTTAACATTGTCGCCGCAGTGTTCCGCTTTCCAGGATGGTTTACCGGGGAGAGTTTGTCACATGCACGGCCTGAGAATCCCTGGCACTGAAGTCCATACTCATTAACTGCATGCCCACGCCTCTCCTGAGCCCAGAGAGGTGCTGTCACCAAGAGTTTGGGGAGGGCAGGGTCTGACGGCTCTCAGGCCTCTCTGGCCATCCCCTGTTCATTCAAAGCCAAAAGCTGTAGCAGAGGTAAGAGTGACCCAGCAGGGAAACTCTGCAGCTGTTCAGAGGCAGGGCATCACCAGGGACTCAGAGGGGTAGGGAAGCTCCCAGGAAAACAGGGACTGGACCCGAGTGTCTTAGTTCTTAGGGCCATCCTACCGAGGTGCTACAGACTGGGTGACGCCAACACCCGGACCACGCCAACGTCCCAGAGTCCCGGAGGCCAGAAGTCCAACATCAAGGTGTCTACAGGGTTGGTCCCTCCCGAGAGCTCAGAGGGGAGGGTCTGTCCCAGGCTGCTCCTGCTGGCTTGTCAGTGGCCGTCTTGTCACTGTGTCTCCACGCCCAGGTCATCTTCCCTCCACGCTTGTCTGTCTGTGTCCAAACTGCCCCTTTGTATTAGGACACCAGTCCTACTGGATTAGGGCCACCCCTAATCACCACCAGTGACCTCCTTTTAACTCCATTACCCTCTGTGAAGCCCCTGTCTCCAAATAAGGTCACATTCTGGGGTGCTGGGGGTCAGGACTCGGACATATGGATTTGGGGGACCCAGCGGAGCCCACGACCTGCTCCTTGCGGAGCCGACTGGCCACGCGGGAGTGTGTGTGGGTGCTGGGGGGCGTGGGCCTCCCTCCCCGCCGTGACTAAACTCGCGGCTCTTCCAGTTCCAGGTCCGCCCGCGGGCGTCAAGGCAGCCGCAGCCTCCGCCTCCATGGTCTTCGTGTCCTGGCTGCCCCCGCTCAAGCTGAACGGCGTCATCCGGAAGTACACTGTGTTCTGCTCCCACCCCTACCCCACAGTAAGTTGGTAAATAACCAAGTGCCTTTCACGCATTCTCCAGAAGCAGCTGCAGGCGCTGGCTGGGGACAGTCTTGCTCCTTTGTTTCCCACCTCCTTGGGGCTCGCCAGCGGTGTGGTTTCGCCTCTGCTGTCTCCGCATGCAAAGCGAAGCCCTCATTTACCCCCGTGGGAAGGCACACTCTGTCCGGAGTCACTAGAAGGGACAGGGATGTCGGTTGTCGGCGTCGAGAACTGTGGTTTGTTTGGCAGCGCTCCCACCGAACTGCCGGCAGGCTCGTCACAGCCAGAGCCCAGAGGCCTTAATTGTGCCTTAACTGATACTCGGTGGACAACACCTATTGATTTGCCTGTTGGACTCGTCACCAAACGCAGTTCCTCCCCCTGCCCTCCCTCCCCTTTCCCGCGTCCCACACGGGCACACGGCAGCAGGCAGGCGCCCCTGTTGTGAGAAATGAGGGGCCCTAGTGCATTTCTGTGACCCTAACAGTGCCGCCCCTCAGCTCACTGGGAAGGGATCGAACGTGAGAGCATCCGCTGTTTCAGAGTGTGGTGCTCGCCACCGTCCGCGTTGTCGCCGCCGAAGGGTAATTACAAAGCTAGGCGGTGGTTTCCGAAACCAGGGGCAAAAGCATATCACAAAGGGAAGTCTCAGGGAAAGGGAATCATTACAGTGGCACGTCAAAGTGGATGACGCCTTCGTAGAAGTTGCGTGACGTTTTCTGAGGCAGGCGCTGGGTCTGGTTCATCTCCGTGTCCCCTGGCGTCTGGCATAGAACTCGACACAGGTGGTCACTCTGTAAACGTTTGTGGAGTGAATGCACAAGCTAACTATGTTGCTATTGTAAAAGACACATCACATAAAACTTATCAACCTGGCTATTTTCAAATGCCCAGTTTGGTGGCCTCAAGTGCATTCACATCTTTGTGGGACCGTCACCACCATGAACCACTCCAGAACTCTTTACAAAACTGAGACTCTGTCCCTGTTAAACAGCAACTCCCCATTCCCCCTGCCCAGCCCCCGGCGACCACCGTTCTCCTTTCTGTCTCCATGCATTCGGCCACTCCAGGGACCCCACGTACGTGGGACCGCACACCACTTGTTCCCTAGCGACACGCTTGTTTCACGGAGCACACGGTGCTCGTCCGTGTTGCGACGTGGGTCACAATCTCCTTCCTTTTGAAAGCCGAACAATATTCCTGAACTAATTTATTAGTTAATCTTTTCATTAAAGCGGTACACTTCTCCAAGTCCAGGGTCTGTGGGGGCCCCCAAGGCCTGGCGTGCCCCGACAGGGCGTGTGTGTGGCGAGGGCCGTGTGTGGCTCTCGTGGGTCCAGCCCTCTGCTGCAAGACTCAAGTTGCGTCCTCCGCTGCGTGCTAGCCCGCATGTCAGCAGCGGTGCCGCTGCCTCTCGAGTGCAGATTGAAGTGTAAAATGGTCAGAGCTGGCTTCTAGAAGGTTGGTGTAGGGTCCTGATTTGGTACCAGATATGCCGTTGATTCCCACCTGCTGAATCCTGCCTTCCACGCCCAGGGGTGCAAAGCAGTGTAGACACAGCGAGAAAATACGGCAGTCCTCTGAGGACCCCTGGGTGCAGGTTGTGAGTCCCTCATTAGCCCCGACACGTCCCCACACTTACCCAAGGGAGACGGAATTATCGCTGATGCAAAGAACGCTCCTTTCCCACTAGCGTCTGAAGGGCTTCTTTATGTCTAGTCATCTATTCACTCATCTCCTCGCCGGGGAGCTCACACTCGTTATTTTGACTTTATCAAGCTGGCAGGGAACAGGGAACAGGGAACAGCAGCGGCTCACTCTCATCTCGGCCTCCCAATCCAGTCTTTATCTCTGAACTAAAAATCCCCACCTGGCTTACTTGAAGTCAGTCCTTAGTGACTGATGCTTACATGAGAAAAGGCCCATTTGGAGACGCCGAGTCCGGGGCCCTGCCTGAGGATGACACGCAGTGAAACAGGGACAGCCACAGATCCCGAGAAAGAATCAAACAGGCTGGAAGATGGAGCGGAACCCTCCTCCCAGGGAGCCCCTCTGTCTCTGCACACACAGCACAGTGGGGTCTGACCCACCAGCACCTCCCCAAAACACGCTGTCGAAAGTGGCATTAGTGAGATCAAACCAGCCGGAAAAGGTGAGAAGTAATAGAGCTTCTAGCCAGGTGTCTCTGTGTTGCCATTAGACCCCATTAAAAAATGCTGCAGATGGAGAAATATTATAGTCACAGGAGCCCGTGGTCTTCTACGCCATTTATTGGGTTTTGCGAGGAGAGCCCAGCCCTAATGTGAAGTCTCCTCGAATCCGTTGTATCCCATCTCTGTAGACACATCCCTGCTCCTCTATTTCAAACGCACTTTAAGACCCCCAGACCTAATTTTTACATAAAACAATACCGTTATGAGTCAAGGTCAGAGAGAATAAATATCTTCCTCTTCAGAGGTGAGCACGTGTAAATCCCACATGTTATTCCATTTTAATATGGAATGAACAGGAAACTATAAATTACTGGAAAGGGAGATTTGGTTTTCATCCTTAGTTTCTGTGATTTAATTTCCCGTTTTCTGCGGCTCCTGCGTCTCTGCCTATGTGTCCGAGTGAACGCCAGGGGGCAGCCCGAGCTCTGTGCATGCTCCTCGTTTGCAAAGCTGATTTTTTTTTCCCCCTTTGAAATGACTTCATAGTGGAATGTAGAACATGGGAGGATAAATCAGGACACGCTATGCCCTGCTATTTGATCTTCTTTCTAGGACTCCCTCGGCTAACCCCGCCAATGCCAGGATCCCCCAATTCCTCTGCCTTCCTTGCAAAAGGACCTTGTTAAAGGGCAAAAGCTTTTTTCTCTAACGTGTAAGGTATGCTGTCTCATAATAGGTGTTAATTCCACAGTGTTATCTCAGTTCAGCTCAGTAAAAAGGCATTAGAATGTGAAACTTTGCTTAGGAACAGATAAGTTAAATCAATTGAGAATGAACCCGGAGAGGGTGGTTTGAAGACGGTGTTGAGTAGACACTCCTCTCACCACGAGGGTCCTGCACGTGCCAGGAGACGCCGGCCTCCCCGATCAGAGATTCCAACAGCAAAATCTCAGACTTCATTTGATGCAGAATCTTGTCCACATAAATTGTGGGTTCTGGCTATTAATGTTAACGTATAATGATTTGAGCTATCAGTTCATGAACTATTATAAGCAATGAAAATCCAATGCATGAGATAATTTGTTAAGGTCCCAGGCAGAAGGTGGTTAAGCTGCATTTTCTTTCTGACACTTCTCTGTACGTAAAAGCATCCTGTGGAAAACTACGTGCATGCACACACGCACATTGAATAAGCACTAGGATACAGAAATTGTCTGCTTCACAGTGCTAAGCTCATTTACACGGAGCTTAGAAATGCAAAATCAGGTAGTGCAGACTTCTCATTAATGAAGAATAAGAACCAGAAGGCATAAACATAGTCATAGCAATATGCTGTGATCTGCATGTTATCCAGTTTTCGCACATAGTAGGTGTTCAATAAACGTTGCAGTGTGAGCAAATGAGAACGTAGCAGAACCATTCTTATCTAGAAGATGACTTTGGGCAGCTAAACTCTCTACAGTGTAGCCCACAACTTGGAATAAAGCAAGTCTCTGTGAAGACAGGAAGGTCCCAGGCAGCAGGTGTGTGTTTACCTCCCAGCCTGCCCCGGACCCTTCTGACAAAGCCGTGGAGGATGGGGGGGTGGGGGGAGTGGGCGGCTTCAGGGCACCAGAAGTGTTCGGGAATCTCAAGAAGCAAACAAGAGCTATGACATGGAACGGGGCAAGTAGCGCCTGACTTGGGCATTTGTATTTATAATAATATTCATCACGAGGTCCATGTCCCTCTCTCAGAAGTCACCATGGACCTCAGGCTGTAAAATTCCTTTACCTCTTCTCAGTGCCCTCCCTATGTTGTTTAGTTTCAGCATAGCACACCGTTCACAGGCATTTGCCTTTAAAATCCTTCCTTTCTTGGCTCCCATTGTCCTCTTGTTCATTCGCCTCTGTGGTCCCCTCCCCCTCTGCTCTCAGCCTTACGTGCAGGCACTTCCAGGACTCTTCCCTTATCCTCTACTCAAATTCTTTACTATCTCCATGAGCCCTTGATGCTATTCTCATAATGTAACTGTCATCTGAAGTTCAGGGGTCCAATTTTTTTCTGTCTGACTCTGACAATCTGAGCTCTGCTCCATAGCTCTGTGGCATTTTCCCTCCAGGAAGAACCCGAGCAGGTTTTATGAAAGAGGGAAAGAAATCCCCAAAGGGTTCCAAGTGGCATCAAATGCTCCAGCACAAATCATTGACCCGATTTGTCTCGTGACTTCACTCAGCCACAAAGGAACCGGGAAGTACCGTACGAGCATCCACCCAGAAGTTCTAGGGAGGGAAGAAAATGCCACAAGTTGTCACCCTTCTGTGCAGTGTGGAGAGGGACACAGCAGTGGTGTGTGCAGCATGACACAGGAGCGCTGGCTCGGGGCTGCTGCAACGTGGGGCCAGAGACGGCTTCCCGGGACACATTTGTAGCCCTGGCTTGCAGGAGGAGAAGAATTGCACCTGGAGAATCAGGGGCAGAAAGGCATATGTTGATGAGAGGAAATCTGCAAAGGGACGTCGTGTCGTGGGGATTCTCTCTGTGCAGCATCTTCTTAGTCCTCTGCTTTGCTTTCACGCCAACTGCCATTGCCTCGGTCCCGGTCCTTACCTGGGGATCCGAAACTGAGAAGTTTTCCACTGCCAGGCTCAAGGTCCAGCCCATTGTCCACATCCCTGTTGCAATTATTCTTTATGGCTCTGAATCTGAGTATGGTATTCTGTTGCATGAATTTCTTGGACGACTGCTCACTTTTTACCTAAAAACATTCAAAATTCTCAATCTGACCTATGTAGATTCCACAATCCAGCTCTAACTCCTGTCCAGTTTCATAGTCTACTGACCTTCCTCCATCCAATATCTCAGC